AGGAAAGAAAAAGTAAAAGAATCAAAGGACAACTAAAGAAAGTAAGAAGAGTAATAAAATCACAAAAAAGAACAACTGAATAGATGCATATATGACAAGCACAACAAAATTGATAAAGAAAAATTTAAGCACCAAAAAAAAAGAAAGAAAAATAAATAAAGCAACGTAAGACAAAGTCAATTGTACAAAAACGTGTAAGAGCAATCCTAGAAAGGATTAGAGACGGGACAGAGACAAGTGCGAACAAAGAACAAAACATGTCCGTGACACGTCCCTTCAGAATTACCGGAGAGGTGACGCGACCAGGAGGGCGACACGGCGGCAGCGGGCGCGAACGAGGCGGCGCGTGAGGCTGGCTTCTTTAACGCCGCCTAGAAGGTTCCTAGAAGGTTCCTAGAAGGTTCCTAGGCGGCGCGGGAGGCTGGCTTCTTTGATCGCGGCGGCGAGCTACCCGAGGTGGCGGCCAACGTGCGGTTGCACCGCGGCTGGTTCGACGCGTCGCTGCCGGCGTTCTTGGCGCGCGAGATGGCGGTGGGGGAGGTGGCGCTGCCTCTGCACGTCTCCTTCCTGCACATCGACTGCGACCTGTACTCGTCGACGCAGACAGTGCTGCGCTGCCTCGCGTGCGCCATCGGGGTCGGCACCGTCGTGGTGTTTGACGAGTGGTGCGGCTACGTCTATTCACAGCTCTTCTATTCACAGCTCTTCTGTTGACAGGTGTTTGACGAGTGGTGCGGCTACGTCGGCTGGGAGGAGCACGAGGCGCGCGCGTGGCGCGAGTTTTGCGACGAGCACGGCGTGCGCTTTCAATGGATTGAGCCGCCCTCAGCTGCAGCATCAGCAGCAGCAGCAACGGGAGGAGGAGCAGGAGGAGCAGGAGGAGGAAGCTCCGGTGGTGAGAGGTCGACGACTGCGGGCGAGGGAGATCAGGCGGAGGGCGGAGGTGCGGGGCCATCCAAGGCCCTGCTTGTCACGGCGATTCGACCGCAGCAGCAGCAGCCACCGCCACAGCCACAGCCACCGCCACCGCTGCGCCCGCCGGCGGCTGCGCGCAAGGACAAGCAGGCGTCCAAAAAGAATGGCAGCAGTGCTCAAAAGTCCCCCGCGTCGGCCGCGGCGGCCGAGAAGGTGGCGGCGGCGCAGCAGGCGGCACGGGAGGCGGTGGCGGCGCGTGAGGCGGTGGCGGCGGCGGCGGCGGCGGCGGCGGCCGAGCTCGAGCAGCAGAAGCAGGCACTCGCGGCGGAGGTGCACGCGCGTCTTCGCGACGAGGCGAAGCTCTTTGGCGACGAGGGCCAGACGGGTGACGGCGGCGGCGGCGGCGGCGGCTGCTGTGGCGGCGGCGACGACGACGATCTCGGGGCGCTCCTCGACGTGGAGACGCTCGGCAGCTGCCGGCCCGCCGACGCCGACCCGCGCAGCCCTCGGCACGAGCGGCGGCCGTTTGCATGCGCGGTGCGCGTGGCGGTCGCGGGGCAGAGCGTCGAGATGGGCGTCGAGCAAGGCCAGGCGGTGGTGGACGAGGTGGTCGCGACGTTTGCGCGCGGGCCGACGGCGACGAGCGGCAGGGCGCTGCGCCCCGGCGCGCAGCACTGGGTGCTGTGGCGCAACCTCGGCGCGCACTCGCTGCGGCTGGAGCCGAACAAGTCCAACTCGATCGTGTGGCTGAACAAGGCGCACGCGCGCAGGTCGGAGCTTGAGTCGTCGTGCGCGTGGCCGGCGCAGCGCGCGCTGCTGCGCAGCGTGCTGCCGCACGCAGAGACATGGGTGAGCCTGCTGCAGCGGGCGCGCGAGGACGGCGGCATCGACATCAAGGACGATTGTCGCCTCGACGACCGCTCGGCAAAGTGCCACCAGGACGGCAACAACTCGGTCGCCAAGGGAAACGTTCCGCTGGTCCGCCTAGCGCTCAACGTCTCATCGGCCGCGTCGGGCCGCTCGCTCGACTACCTTCAGCTCTCGACCGACGGGACCTTCGTCGACGGAGCCGCGCGTGAGGCGGCGCTGCTCCACTCGGTGTCGCAGCACCGCATGTGGCACGGCGCCGCGCAGACGACCCACGGCTACGTCCAGGGGGTCTCAAACTGCTGCCACGGCTCGTCTGCCGGCACCGGCCCGTGCCTCAAGCGCATCGTGACTGTCTTTGCGCTGCCCGACGACCACCCGCTCGCGGCGCTCACGGCGGCGCAGCGGCTGCGGCGCATCGGCCTCTCGGTCTTTGCCATCGACCCGCGCCACCAGATGCGCGGCGCGGCGGGTTCTGCGGTGGCGGCAACGACGACGACGGCGCTGGCATCGTCGCCAACACCAGCAGCAGACGTGGCGCCAGCGACAGCGGCGCCCGGAGAGGACGCGAGGCCGCAGCCGCAGCCGCCGGCGGTGAGCAAGGCGCAGGCGGCCAAGGCGGCCAAGGGGCAGCAGGCGGTCCTTCGCTCGTCGACGCACCGCGCCGCCTACTCACGCGGCCGCAAGGCCGACCCCGGCCCCGCGGTAGCCCACGCGGCGCTGCCCGCGGCGCTGTGCGAGCAGGCGACGTTGCGGTACGACTCGGCGACGCACGACTTGCGCGGGGCGGTGGTGGGTTTGCTTGAGCGTGCGGGAAGCGGGGTCGGCCGCTTTGAGGACTTGTCGCGCGACGGAGACAACGGCAGTAGCATCAGCGGCGGAGAGACGCGGCGGCGGCTGGAGGATTTTCGGGTGCCGGCGGAGGCGCTGCGCGGCTCGGGCGGCAGTGCTGCCGCTGCCGCGCAGCAGCACCTCACCCTCGCCCTCGCGGCCGACGCGCCCTTTCTGGCGGCCTTTGAGCATCTGGTCGAGATGGTAGTGGTGCCGAGCCTCAAGGCGCGTCTCGTAACGGCCGGCGCGTGCCACGCCCCCACGACGTTTTATTATCAGTATCCGCCGACGCTGCGACTGCAGCCGGGGCCGAGCTCCCGCACAGTGCGCCCTCACTCGGACGCCGAGTACGGCCACCAGAGGGGCGAGATCAACTGCTGGATGCCGCTGACGGATAGATTGCTCACGAGGACGACGCTGTGGGCTGAGTCGCACGAGGGCGCCGGCGACGACCACCCGTTTGAGGTGGACGTCGGCGAGATTGCTCTCTTCCACGGGACAGTCTGCAAGCACCACGTGCCTGCCAATCCGAGCGAATGGACGAGGGCCTCCCTTGACTTCCGCGTGGGCATTGAGGGCTACTTTGATCCGTCCTGGAGCATGAAGGGGACGAAGCAGGACCACGGGAGACGGACGGTGAGACTATGACAGGAGCTTGCCATGTGTGGTGTGAGGTGTGTGACTCTGTAATACCTGTTCCACACATCACACATCTTCGAATCCTGGAAAGCGGCGCTATGTAGAATTCTTAGACCGCTCGGTGGAAGGTGCCCCGCCCCCTCTCCCCGTCCGCTCAACAAGACGGCCACCGCCGCGGAAACGCTCGTCACGCCGTCGCGCGTCTTGGTGACCGTCTTCCTTACCACTACGGTGAGCTGCCCTACCTCAAGGAGCGCCTCGACGCGGCGCTGGCGGCGACGGCAGCTGCTGCCTCTGACGAGTCCGCGTCCGCCGGCGGAAAGAGGGGGGGGGGGGCGTTGTGCGGCGGGCGCAGAAGGCGCGACGACCTTCTACTACCAGCACCCGCCGACGCTGCGGCTGCAGCCGGGGCCGAGCGAGCGGACGGTGCGGCGACCACGACGGCGAGATTTCGCCGCTCCCCGGCAGCTGCTTGAGGTGCGTGGCGAGCTTCCCCTTGCTGCTAGGCGAGTACGGCCACCAGCGAGGGGAGCTCAACTTTATTTGGTTGCCGCTCACGGACCCGAAGCTCACGCGCACGACGCTCTGGGTCGAGTCGCACGAAGGCGCCGCCGACGACGCGCCTCTCGACGTCGGCTACGGTGAGGTTGCCGCGTTCCACGGCAGCGTGTGCTCTCACCACGTGCCTGCGAACGAGAGCAGACACACGCGCGTATCGCTCGATTTTCGCGTTGGTGTTGAGGGATTCTTTGACCCGCACTGTGGAGCATGAAGGGCACAAAGGAGGACCATGGCCGGCGCAAGGTCGTGGTGGACGCTTCTAGATGAGAGGAGCCGGTGGTACATTCGATCATCTTTAAGGTCCAACCTCCGAAAGGTTTTTACTGTTGTGTGTTGTGTGGTGAAGTCTCTGTGGCCTGTGGGCGCGTCCCGCGGCCGCGAGACTCGAACTCTCAGAGGGCTGAGGGCAGAGGGGACGTCAGAGAGACGAGTTCGAGAGTGAGATCTGAGAAGACGTGTTCATCTCTCAAAGGATAGGCGAGCCCCGCGCGGGGTCCGCAAGAGCCCGAGGAGCACCTTGAGGCCCTCGTCTTCACTCAGGTTGGCGTACTTGCGCGCAAACCTAGCAGAAGCATTGACGAGGCGTTCCGCGACATACTACTACCGGCGGGTACTTGCGTCGGCGTCTCTTCGCGCGCACCAGTCGGCCGGGACAAAGCGGTCACGCAGCACAGAGGTGCTATCGACGCCGTTGAGGCGGCGCACCCACGGGTAGAGCGGGGAGTCCACGAGCAAGCCACGGCCCTCGGCTGCGAGGCACGGATACAGCGAGAACGTGGATGGGTTGCAGACGGCGGTGCGCGAGAGGACGAGGCGCGAAAGGCTCGCGGCGACGGAATCCTGTGATTTGGGGTGGCGGGCGCAGTGAGGCTCCGATTCCATCGCCACCACGAGCAACCGGGGGGGGGGGGGGGGGTCCTGGTTGCGTAGCGTGAGTCGAGCCCGCGGAAAGTCTTCCGCCAGAGCCTTCATGAAGTCGGCGGCGAGTCGCTCGCAGAAGTAAGAAGGCGTGCAACCCGACTGGCCTGCAACAGAACCACGAGCGATGAAAATGCCGCCCGGACCACCACCTCGCATTACTGCCCGGTATCACTGTGCATCTACCTGCCCTCGCCTTCCCGGCACGCGCCCGATGTGCGGCCTGTGACGATGCCAATCGATGCGACCGCGGGGGGCAGGACGCGCCGGTAGACGTGATAAGGGACGATGCCGTAGCCAACCAGCCGGGGCAGTGTGAAGACATCGCCACACCGAAAGTAGATTACAGCCTCATCAAGCTCAACCATGGGGTGCTCGTCACGCCAGCGGCGCGCCATCGCGCGCAGCTCTCCGCGGATGATCGGAGCAAAGTGCTCGAGCCCCGAGGCGCAAGAGTGCGGGTAGTTGTCGCCGAAGCGACCTCCTACGTACCGGCGAGCGGTGCGTCAGGCTGCGGCTTGCCCATCAGCAGGGAAGATCGAAGATCGCCTCTGCTGCACAGCTCACAACTCTCGTGCAGTTGTAGCTGCGCCTGACGGGCTCTCCCGCCGTCCAGCCTCTTCGGTGGAGGATCGAGTGTGCTCGAGGTGAGGTACTTGAAGACGCTCGCGCCGCCAAGCTCCGCGGCCTGGGCTTGCCCTGCAGTGCATCCGGCGTCTTGCATTGAGCAGGAGCACACGGACGGTTGGGGCCATCTCTCTCGCTTAAAGTCTTCCCTCAAATGTGATAGCAGCTGCGCTCGGGCTGAGATCAGACGCCTTGGTCATCCGGGATGAGGCGCCTCTTGCAGAAGCCTGGCCGCGGGTCGAGAAAGGGCAGTCTCGCCACTGCAGCGATGCCCCGCACCATAAAGTACTGCGAGAAGGAGTTTCCGAGCGCGCCTGCGAGCGCTCACGCTCGTGTCGTCTGGGCCAACGTGTGCGGGACGTGCTAGAAAGAGGGTGGAAGCGCGCGGCACGCCCGCGAAGCAGAGGCCGTAGAATCCTGGTCGCTTGTGGCACATCGGGGCCCAGCTGCTGCGCGGCAGCGGCCACCTCGGGCGCCAGAGGGAGGGGGTTAGAAAAAGAGGACGCGTTTGTGGCGTCCGTAGCAGCAACAACAGCTGCCACCTCAGCTGAGGTTCGAAGCGAACTGAGCTGTGGTTGCGCCCCTTTGCCAGGAGCAGTGGACACAGCTCGCTTCGCAGCGCCGCCGCTGCCTCGCCTCCGCTAGTTCGCAGTTGGAGAGGAGGGCAGTCGGCAGCCGGGTTGTAGAGGCGGGTGTCGCCGCGCTCTCTCTGCGCGGCGGTGGGCGGCTTGCGCGGCCGCGGCGGCTGTCGGGGTCGGCGCGAGCTGCTAGTTGACATCGCCAAACGAGACGACCTAGCGTCACGGCGGCGAGCGCGCGACGAGAGAGGCGGCGGAGCGGGGGAAGCAACAACGAAAATCCGTCTCAGACACGCTCAAGTTTTGGCGCCGAACGAATCGCTGGATGTGAGCACCGTGGCGATGGCGCTAAGAGGTTCCTCTTTTCCGCGCCCCCCCCCGCAAGGCGGCGCGATACACACGGTTACCGACTGCCCTGGATGTGAGGCTGATGACGCACTAGTGCGCCAAGTGCACTCCAAGTGCTCCAAGTGCTGCTCCGCGCCGGTTGGACGTTGCACCCTGCGCGACCCTCCGAGCGCAACCGTGAAGTACAGTGAAGAGACCCGCCGCCAGGCGTTACCATGAGGCAAGGCATGTCCATGAGCTGTGAAAAGAGGAGGCACTGGCCAGTGGTCTTTTTACTGTATGCTCGCGCCCGGCTCGCGGCATATCTCTCGATATGGCAGACTCCAGCTCCCCAACTAAAATCTACGACGTACGGCATAAACACACCATGGAGCACATGCAGCCTACGTGCACCTCCCCCATCACTTGTGTTCTGCCGGACCCAGGATCGATCGCCGCTTCACCAGCTTGGCCTCACTGGGAGTGGGTGGCTCGTCGCGCAGGAAAGTGCTCGACCGGCGCCGCAAGAGCGGCTGTGCGCCGGGCGCCGCCGCCGTCGCCGCCTGCCGCGGGAAGGGATCGACGGGCGCTCCCGCCTCCGCCGGCGCCGGCATCATCTGCAGCGAGAGGTAGGTGTCCCAGAAGTACGAGACTAGGTTGGACACCGCGACGCGGTACTGGAGAGGCACCACCGCTTGCTGGAGCACCTGCACAGGCGCCCACACCCACACGGACGCGCACCACGTCGAGAAGAGCTCCTCATCGAGCTTGGCGCGGATGGCGGGCAGCGAGGCGCCATTGGCCAGGGCGCACCAGCAGAACATGGACCCGATCATCAACGGGCCCTGCACGGTCTGGTCCACAAAGAGCTTGATCGCAAGCGGCCGCAGGCTCGCGCCCGGCAGCATGCGCTCCATAAAGTTAAACCAGTGCGTCAACAGCGGTCCGACCCACAGGCCGCCCACGGCTCCGAACTTGAGCGCCCGTTCGACGCGCTCTCCCACAGCTCGTGGCTCGGCCTCGATGGCCTGTGCTGTAAGGTCGCTGAAAGTATAGGTCACGCCGGTGCCGACGGCTTTGGTGGAGTAAGGCGCTGCCGTCAGCCGCGCGTTGTACCAGACGATCAGGCGGTGCGTTGACGCTCGCAGCATGTACGAGCAGAGAGAGGCTTGCTGCAGTGACGGGCGGGGAGGCAACTCGGGATAAGCTTGTCGCCGGCAACTCGGGCAGGACAAGCTTATCGCCGAGCCCGAAATCGCCGAGCCCGAGCTATCGCTCGTCAGAAAAAAATCAGCAAGCGCTCCAGTAGTGCGAGGAGAAGATGTGTGTGTGTGTGTGTGTGTGTGTGTGTGTGTGTGTGTGTGTGTGTGTGTGTGTGTGTGTGTGTGTGTGTGTGTGTGTGTGTGTGTGTGTGTGTGTGTGTGTGTGTGTGTGTGTGTGTGTGTGTGTGTGAAGAGGCAGACGCCCAAGGGTGAGCGACGGCTAGCAATACTCATTCACACGCAACACACCTTCCTTCCTCGTTCGGGCGGGGGCGACGAGCCGCCGTCGTCCTCCCATCCCTGCGCTACGGGCGGAAACGAAGACCGCACAGTCCACACCACACACACACACACACACACACACACACACACACACACACCAAGGGCTCCCCAAGGGAGGGGTCTGGTTATAGAGTTGTTTAGGTATTGCTAAAATTCTCTCTCCGGGGTCTCACTTTCGCAATGAAACCACCCCGGGGCCAAGCGGCCAACCCTCTTCGGTTTCGTCGCCAAGAGTGTACTCTTGGGCCCCGAACCCGAAGAAAAAAACGTGTACCCCCTTGGAGTGTATCTTGAGTGTTGCTCTGGAGCGTCCGGTTCAACACGCGCTCGCGCGCTCGCGTCTGCTGGCGCCCAGAGAACACGTTGCACCTCATGCTCCCGGCGGAGCCCAACTGCTCGCACTCGACAAGGCAGTCCATCCACTCGCGGCAGCTGAAGTCGAACTTCCACTCGATGCGGCTCGCGCCGGATTGTGAGCTCGGCGAGCGAGGTCGGAGAACGACCTTCAGTTGGCCCAAGCCGCACGCCACTGAGGCAGAGCGGCAGTGCGCGTACGACGCCGTACGCGGACGGCCACTCTGCACCGACCGCAGCGCCGCATTGCGACCGCAGTGGCTCAGCTCAGCCAGGGCTCGCTCGCCCAAGCTCGGAGCCGCCGCCGGTCATGGGCAGCAACAAAGATTTGACGCGTCGCTCGGTGCAGGAGGGCACTGCAGTAGAGGTGCAGAGGCCGTCCGGCGCGCGCGCGATGGGCTACAGCTTCATTGGCAGCTACCAGAGCGCGTCTGGAGCGCTGCCATTGTGTGACCCACGTCCAAGCGGCGCTTCCGGCCTGTTCCGCGCCTCTTTTTACGCTTTTCATTGGAGAGGGGGGGACGAGGTCTCATCAACTTCGAAACCGCCTTTGAAAGGGGGGGACCTGTTGCACGCCAACCGTGAGCACCGCCCAGCCCCAGCCAGTCCGGACAAGGCGCAAAAACAGGCATTAGCGCCTCTCTCGCGTGGGCACTGACGGCACTGGCGCTGGTGTACAGACTGTATAGACTACACACACGTCAAAAATATGAGCAGCAGGAGCCAGTTTGGCCCCCCGCGGCCCTCCGCACCGCGCCTAGCGCCCAGCCGCTGCACGCACTGCGGGCGCGGAGGTCGACTATCGCCTCTCGGAGAGGCGAGCAGCGCGGCGCGAGCCGGCAAAGCGGCGCGGATCCGTCCTTGTCCACCACGAGGACTTGCCTCAGCCGCTCAGAAGTGGCCTGCAAGCGTGCGGCCGGCGCTGGTGAGCGTGAAGGATCGCAGAAAACTCCCTTTTGCCCGTTTTGCCCCTTGTCAGCTGACCTTTCCAGCGATGTGTGGCGAAGAACCGACCACGCCGCGCATGGGTGTGTTCATACTGGTGGACAACACCACCTAACCGCGGCTATTTGAGTCGCCGCGCCCCCAGAGCCGCGGAAGCCTGGCGCAGCGACGGCGCTGCGGCACTGCGGCGTCGCGGCCGCAGCGCGTGAGGCGCGGCGCGTCAAGTCGCCTTCAACCGCTCCGGTCCGCTGCCGCAGGGCACAGGGATGGCGCTGAGACGCTCGGGTGCGACATGAAGGCCTTAGGGCGCGCGCTCAAGCCGCCGGCCGCGCACAGCGATTTTGAGCTGTCCGTGGGTGGTTCACGGTTGGCGTGCAACAGGTCGGCGGAAATGCGTCCGTCCCTGAGAGGGTTGGGAAGGGGGCGGTTTCACTGCGTTCCAAGTGCTCCAAGGCCTGGACGACGACAGGACCATCCGATTGTGTTACTTTTCACTAACAACGAAGGCGCTCTCAAAAAATGTCAACGCCCCTCACATGCACTTCCCGGAGACGTGCCATGCGCCGGGCCACATATGCCGGCGATCTTCGAGATCAGCTGCCTTAGCTCAGCCCCGCGGCCCTCGACAGGGCGCGCCCTGCAGCTGACCCCACCTCCCAGCCGGCTCCAAGCGAGGCCGCGCTCGCGCCTTCGATGGCACACTTCCCGACGTAGTCCGCGACCGACGATGGGCCAACCCGAACGGGCGGGAGGAGGCGGTACATGCGTAGAGCCGAGGCCACTCGACCAATGACGGCCTGCCACTCCTGCTGCTCATGCTCACTGCCTGCCACGAGGTAGATCTGAGTGCACCCGTCCAGCCCAAGCCACTCCTCCCGATGGTGGCTTGGGCTCTTCCGCGGCTGGTCGTTCAGCCTGAGTAGCAAGGCGTGCCGTCTTCCCGCCTGAAGTTCCGTGGGAGTGCTCACCTCGAGCACGTCAACCACGCCGAGCTTCGCCTCAAGCGCCGTCGCCCCCGCCGAGGCGTTGGGCAAGAAGTAGAGTTCGCTGTTCTCGAGCACCACCCACTTGTTGACAGCGCGCGCGGCGGGGGCCGGCGCACGGTCTCCGGCTACGAATGCGACGCCCAGCGTGCCAGCGCGCTGCTCCGCGGACGGCGCCAGGTGGGTGGCGATGCGAGATCGCGCCTTCGCCGCAGCTGCGACGACGGAAGCGGCAGCGGCAGACGCGGCAGCGGCAACGGGCTCGGCGATGGACTGGGCATCTGTCACCGCCTCAGAGGCGTACAGAGCTCGGGCGATCACGGAGTTTGGCGGCGCAGCAGCATGGTTGGGGTAGGCGTGCAGGATGGTGCCGAGCGGCGTGGTGCGCTCGTCCTTTCCCCACGGCGGCCCGGCATGCGCGGTGATCTGCTTGAGCGACGAGTTCCAGTAGGCGTGCACCGCAACCGTACCCTCGGCCGGCTGTTCAAAGGCGTAGAACTGTAGCCCGCGGCGCGACTCGCCCTCCCACGCGGGCGGCGGGTGGATCGTCAGTCGGCGGTCGCGCTCCGACCACCAGTCGTAGACGGGAACTGCCCCCGGAGCCTCAGCAGCCAACGCAACAAACTGCAGGTTCTTGCGCTCCTCTCGCCTGCCGTAGCTTATCGACCACGGGTCGCCGGCGTGAAATGTGAGCTGGCGAAGCTCGGCGTTCCAAAAGTCAAACACCTCGACCAGTGGCGGTGGCGGGATCGCGACGGGAATTCCCTCGGCGCAAACGGGGGGTGCGTCGGTGTCACAGCGAGTCCCTTTGATGGGAGGCCCCAGGGTGGGGGCCACCTCGAACCCCCGGCCAGGGATTCGAGCGGAGGGTGCCCCGGATTCGTCTATCCGTTGGGCCCCGGCACCTATTTTAGAACTGATCACTTTGCTCAGCAACCGTCGGCCGCCGCTTTTTAGCTGGACGGCGGTACGCTGCGCCGTCGCTCTGTCGTGCACGCTCTCGTGCCTCGTTGTTGTGACACGGGAGTAGAGTCGAGAGGTAGCCCTCGACGAGACGACCGGCGCCGCGATGCCAGACCTCACTGCCGCCGAGCTCAGCATTCCGGCCGAGCAGCACCCCGATCCCGCAAAGCCACTGGTGATACCCGTCGACTCAACAGTGGTAGGCTCTACCCTGCGCTTCATTCCGTGGTCTGTGGTGGGCAATCCGGCCCTCCTCCAGCTGCCCCCTCCTCCTCCGGGGATGCAACCGTCGTGGGTCCAGATTCCGCAGTGGGTCGCCATCAGTGCGCTGCTCGCCTTCAGTGAGCCCGAGCCCGCTGTGGCCACCCACTTTGACAGGCTCAGCGTCTTGCGGCTGGCCGTATTGGCCGCGGCCTGGCGCCGCATCCTCGGCGCCTTGTCCGACCTCGGCGTTTTCAGCACGGTGCACGTGGATGAGGATGCGTTCCGTACGGTGTGCATCCAGGCTCTGCACTCCCGCCAAATCCCGGTGCCCGAGCTCTATCTGCAGTGGGGCGATTTGGGATACTCTGAGGCTATCGTGCCCTTGGGACCAGCGCCATCTGCAGAAGCGAAGGCCGTCGACTTCTTGCAGTACGCGACGGTCGGGGCTCTTTGCGACCCTACGGCCGACGTCCCGTTCGCAGCCCTGTCTGACATGACCCGCTGCTTGGGGCCCGTCTTCACGGCGGCGGCGCGCGTCGATCCCATGGGGAGCGCCGTCGTGGGGGCTGCATCGCTCGCCGCCGCCGCTGGTCACATCACTCCGCGAGCGAGCGATGGGCATCCCGCCCTGCTCTCTCGGCATGTGCTCAGCATGCTAGGAGGCCTCCCGAATCTTCGACCGCTGCCTCGAACTATGCCGTCGGCTCGCGCAGCCGGAGCCGCTCACTCTGGTGGCGGGCGGATGCGTGACGGTGGCCCAGCCGGATGGGCCAGAGCTCGGCGGCGGACCTCGGGAACTCGGTCCCGAGAGCGGGCGCGCGGCCGGCTCATCTCTGCGCCTTCCGTGCACGGGGGTGCTTGCCAACATGATGGTGCACAGCGACCCTGCTCGACCCTCCCGACCCCGAGACCACCCTGCTTTCCCCATCTTGCTCCTCCTCCTCACTCTCCACCTCCCTTCCCGCCTCCTCCGCCACCTGGTCCGGCTTGAACGACACCGGGAGCACTTTGAAGTCCCCATTGTCTCTCTCTCTCTCTCTCTCTCTCTCTCTCTCTCTCTCTCTTGCGTTTGTTTCTAACATCGAAGGCTAAGCTCAAAAGAAAAAATAGAGACCCCAACCGAGCCGTCGACAAGGAGTCCAACCCGAACCAGCGGGGGGACGGCGTCCTTGGCAACTGGACGCACTCGGCACGCAGGATGGTGTTTGACGGCACGACCATCACCGCAGTGCAGTTCCGTAAAGGCATGCTAGGCCCGCTGGCGAGAGGCAAGCACCTCGCCACCGACTACGCCGAGGAGGCGAAGCGGAGTGCCAAGGCCGCGGCGTGCGCGGCCAACAACTACGACTTCATGACGTGGGCGGCGAGCACACGCGGCGGCATTGGCCGCGAGGCGGCGGAGTGGTTCACCACCGGCTTCGCCGCCAAGGTCGCCCTGGCGCGCTCCGACGGCGAGAAGTGGCGAGTGCGCAACGAGCGCAAGCGCCTCCTGCAGCAGCACTCGGCCATCATTGCGAGGCGCAACTGGGAGATCACCCAGCGCAACGCGTGGCCGAGGATGGGCGGCGTGGCGCCGCGAGCGCCGCCAGTCGAGTAGTAGCGGTAGGGAGTAGAGGTAGTCGTCTCAGTAGTGTCCTGTCAGAGCGTCCCGTGTCGGTCAAGCAGCGTCTGTCGGATAGTAGGAGAGAGTGTGTCGTGTGTCGTGCGGATCAGTCCTGTCTGGGTGGGGGGGGGAAAGAGACGGAGAGGAGATTCATTGAGCCTTGGCACCAGCCGGGCAGTGGGTTTGGCCCTGGCATCAGCCGGGCATGTTGTTGATTTGGCCTTGGCATCAGCCCTGGCAGGCGGGCACGCGGGACATGCACAGGCGCCAAAGGGGCGCAGAACCGACCTAACCCGTCGGAGGTGGGGGGAAGGGAGTACCGCCGGGTTCCCCTGCGTGAGCGCAAGAGTAACCCAAAGAGGGCTGAAGATGAGCGGTGCGCGCAGGGGTCGGCGTGACGGGGCGAGGGACGCGCCGCGCGGGGCGCCGCCTCACCGGCCCAAGTGGCGCGGGGCGAGGCGGCGAGAACCGAGCGAGCACGTCCTCGTGAGCCCCGTGGCTCCAACCAGGCCCTTCCTTTTTTTTGAGCAGGTGTGACGCCGCGCGAGCGACGCTCCGAGATCGCCCGAGATAGCGCGGCGCGGCGGTGGGTGAGGTGAGGGGGGTGGGGGGGGGGGGGGGGCCCCCCTGCCCTGGACCTCCCAAATAGCGCGAGATTGTGCGAAATCCCGCGGCGCGCCCCCAAAATCCCC